TTGGTGAACATTTGATATATAGACAATATTGCCTTTTAGACTTTCAGAGGTTTGGCTTTGAGGGTTTCTGTGGCCATTGATGACAATTGATGTGGATGATTTTGGCTTTGAGAGTTTCATTGGCTATTAATTGACAAATGATGCAGATGGTGCTTGGTTTCAGAGTTCTAGAGGTTTGGCTTTGAGGGTTTTGGTTGCAATTGGTTTACAAGCGTTTGAGAGGCTGTGGGTGAACAATTGATTCAGACAAACTAAGTTGTAGAACAAGTGTTTGAGAGACTGTGGGTGAACAGTTGATACAGACAAGCTAAGTTTTAGAACAAGTGTTTGAGAGGCTGTGGGTGAACAGTTGATACAGACAAGCTATGTTGTAGAACAAGTGTTTGAGAGGGTGTGGGTGAACAGGCTATGTTGTAGAACGAACAAGTGTTTGAGAGGCTGTGGGTGAACAGTCGATACAGACAAGCTATGTTGTAGAACAAGTGTTTAAGAGGCTGTGGGTGAATAGTTGATACTGACAAGCTATGCTGTAGTGACAGTTGATACAGACAAGCTATGTTGTAGAACAAGTGTTTGAAAGGCTGTGGATGAACAGTTGATACAGACCAGCTATGTTGTAGGGACAGTTGATAGACATGCCCGGCTGATGATTGATGTGTCCACATCAATAATGCATTTATCTTATACAGGTAAAAAGCTGGCTAGTATCTGCATGTTACAGTCTGCCGATCAGACAATGGCTTGCTGTAACACTACAGTAAGGGACTGCCACGTAATTAAATTACAAGGATAACGAATCTGTATATGTTTGGAAATAACATCACATCAGAGGTTAGTTTGTCATTAGACGCTGTGACCTCTATTATTGCAGACACTCATCAATCAACTAATATTATAAGCTACCTGGTCGATGGTCACTGGAATTGACCCAGTCCAGTTACACTACACGTATGAAGTCTTCCACCTGTACAACCATACTTTCCTACTCTCCCTATTTAGGAGGGAGAGTCCTGATTTTGGACCCTTAAATTGAGCATTTTCATAAACAAAAAAATAAGATCTGATGATTTCATCTGAAGGAACAGCTGCCATTTAAAAGTATTATTTTCCCCTAGGGTGTCCATAAAGGTACACTTTATACATGGTTTTAATTATGAGCACGCATACCGTAATCTCCCCTATGGAAATTTCAAAAATTGGCAAGTATGGACAACACAGAAAACTGCAGATCAGTAAACCAGATACCTATCCTAGGTTTGCTGCTACATATTGATTTTAAACAAACTTGATGATTTGTCATATTCAATATGTTAAGGTTTAAACATGAACAAAGTCAGGACTCCTGGGGTTCGGGTCGTTCTATTAACATAAAAACAGGTCTACTGTATGTTTTATTAATACTCTCAACAGCTAGGTGGTAAGGATAGGTCCATGTGTTTTGTTTCTGTGGGGAGACAGGCTCTACGACACCCTGGAGAATTAATGTACTCGTAAATACAATCACTGGCTAGGAACTACTACCCGTCATTGACCTCAGACTATTGGTTGCTGTCCAAGTTTGAAAATTAAAATCTATTGCAAAATATAACACAGTCTTCTCCGACATTCATTGTTCCCATATTAAACTGGAGCTACCACGTCATAGCCTTACCTTTGATTGTAAAACATTTTCCCATGACATTGTGCTACCACCTCAGCCTTACCTTTGATTGTAAAACATTTTCCCATGACATTGACAACAATACATTGAATGGAGGTATAAAATATTTCGTCAAGTGTTAGAGTAAATGCATCAGACATATGCTCAATAGACTCATATTTTACTGATGTCTGTCATAAAGGACTATTACATGTCCTGCATGAATCTAAGTATGGAATGTGTTTCTTGTTTTCACTGGTGAAGTGGTGGGGGTCCATCTGTTGTTATATCCTCGGTCGCTCTTCAGTAACAGCTTAACGTCAGCATTGTTGGTTTAATCTTAATGGCAATCTTCTCTGTCAATATCTATATTACATTAATAAACTATTGGAATGTATATGTAAAGGCAATTTGCTGATGATGTAAAACACAGAAAAATGTGGAGACTGTCTATGTAAGCCAGCCAAAGTCTTGTAATTGATGAGTACTTTCTATAGATTATGTATACTGGGGGGAGGCGCCTCTCTATAATATATAGCTCCTACAGACAACCTGACACTTAGTCTATAGTAATACAGAATCTGTCTATGTTAAACCTTGTCTTAAGACTGATAGAGAAANAATGTGTAGCTAGGTTGGTTGGGTGGAGCAGTGGTTATACAGATGAATTATAATTATAAATGTGAAGCTAAGGTTGGTTGGGTGGAGCAATGGTTATACAGATGATATATAATTATAAATGTGTAGCTAGGTTGGTTGGGTGGAGCAGTGGTTATACAGATGATATATAATTATAAATGCGTAGCTAGGTTGGTTGGGTGGAGCAGTGGTTATACAGATGATATATAATTATAAATGTGTAGCTAGGTTGGTTCGGTGGAGCAGTGGTTATACAGATGATATATAATTTATAAATGTGTAGCTAGGTTTGTTTGGTGGAGCATTGGTTATACAGATGATATATATTTATATAAATGTGTAGCTAGGTTGGTTTGTTGGAGGATTGGTTATACAGATGATATATAATTATAAATGTGTAGCTAGGTTTGTTTGGTGGAGCATTGGTTATACAGATGATATATAATTATAAATGTGTAGCTAGGTTTGTTTGGTGGAGCATTGGTTATACAGATGATATATAATTATAAATGTGTAGCTAGGTTGGTTTGTTGGAGCATTGGTTAGCGCACTCACCTTTCACCAAGGTGACAGGAGTTTGATTTCCTGATCTGACCTGAAAAGGTATTGGGTTGACTGCCAAACCATGGCATAAGATATTTTCTTGGTACTCCAGAATCCTCTAACACATCCATATTTGCCAACTTTTCGAAATTTACATGGGGTATATTACGCATGCTCAAAATATAAAACATAAATAAAATGTGTGTCTATACACCTTGGGACAAAAATTACAAATTACATCTTGTGAGTTGTTCTTTCAGATGAAATAATCAGATCTAAGGAAATAGAAATAGTTTAGCAATTTCATTGGTTGAAAATGCTCAATTTTAGGGTCCAAAATAGGGAGTCTCCCTCCAAAAAAGGGAGAGTCGGCAAGTATGCATATCAAGACAAAGAGCATGACCTTCCATCCAAGAGTGATTAATAAGAATTGATAGAAGATGTTTTATACTTATGCTAAAATACATAATTTGGACTTTGTGTTGGCTTTGACACTTTCCGCGGCCATGGTTGACGATTGATGTATGTAGAAAGTGTTGGATTTGAACAAGTGTTTAAGAGGCTGTGGGTGAACAGTCGAAACAGACAAGCTATGTTGTAGAACAAGTGTTTGAGAGGCTGTGTGTGAACAATTGATACAGACAAGCTATGTTGTAGAACAAGTGTTTGAGAGGCTGTGTGTGAACAATTGATACGGACAAGCTATGTTGTAGAACAAGTGTTTGAGAGGCTGTG